AAAGTAGATGAATTTTGGTGTTTTGACGGAATGAGAGGATGTTATCAGAGTGAAGAAGGCTAACCTTTATATAGTTGTGGATACACCGCCTTTCAAAGAGATATCTCTCATTCAATGTGAGATTGTGTTTTACGTCGGTCTTTGGAGTTAAGAAAACATTGAATCTGTGGCATGGAGCGTTTCAGATTTAAAAAAGAGAAGACAAATCGACGCGACTACAAACCAACAAAGAGATTCTTCATGTCGATTTGAGTCAGACAATCTCTAGAAACACCATTGAAACAGAGAACACAGCTTGGTGGCGGAATTCGAAGAAGAAAGGAAGCCCTAAAAAAAAATATTTTGGGCTCTCGAATTAGTCAAGCCCACTAAATATTTAGTGTACCAGGAACAAAACAAAAAACGCAACGTATGAGTATAAATGAGACGTGTCATACTAAGGTTGCAGTATTTGATGACATGGCATCATAGGAGGGAGGCAAACATTACTTTATATATATAGATATATATACAAACATACCATCGAACTGCTGATAAGATGGATTAGTTGATATTTATATATGTTGTGCGTGTGAAACAGGGTTCGTCACGCAGGAGAAGCTAAAGAAAGTGATGAATTCGATGGGGAAGGATCGAAAAGCAGAACTTTGGGAGATGATGATTGATGTAGACGTGGATGGCAATGGAGGCATATATATAATGGCTCAAAACACCTCTCAGGTATAGTATGTGTATGTACCTTTTAGTTAGATAGTGATTTTTTTTTTCCTTTTGGTTTTATTTTTTTGTTGTAATTGAACAAACAATACACATTGAGTCGAGATTTCAAAAAAAAAAAAAAAAGAGAAAGCTATGGCGTATCTCACGATTTATTTTTGTATGTGATTAACAGACCCCATATATGGTAATAAAATTGATTGTGATCCTATCACAAAGCAACCAGATTTTGATCATCCTTTCATCAAAGATCACAAGATTCAAGTGCATAGATAAAACATTTAGTTAGATATTTTCCGGCTTCGTGTTTTATGTTTAGAGTGCTGATTAGTTTACTTGCGGGTTTCTTCTTCAGCTGAAGCCTAATTGCCATCCTGAGTGACTCGATGGCAGCAAAGTGTCTTCTACGAAGTCAGAAGGAGAAGTACATACATATCCCTCACTAATGGCGTAGATATGATAAAAGCTGGCTGTCAGGTACACTCAGTTAGTTTCGACGAGTGTAATTACAATATTGTTTCTCGGTATATATGCGATTTGTGTTTGCTTTACTACAGGTTAGCGCAGATCTAGACGGTTCACATGGTGTTTTCTCATTTGTCAAGTCCATTCTCTACTCCAAAGCAGTTTTTTTTGTCGCATATTGTTTGCTCTCTGATTCTCCACATGTGCAACTCCAAAGTGTTTCTTACTCTCATTGAAGTGTATTTACATGTTATATACGAATTTCTTTCTAATAATTTGCTTACGAATCCTTACAACAGAGGTCCAAGTCATAATGTATGTTCGTGGTGTGCCCTTTGTAGTCCAGTTTCAGGGTTAAGCCATCCCAAAGTTCTTATACTCTTCCCTGCCACTCTAAACCATAGTTTAGAATGGTTAGCAGTAATTAAAACAAGTGGTCATTGTAAATTTGTTAAGTAAATAACATTATATAATGAGAACAAAACCAATGTAAAAAATATTATGTCACAGAAGGTAATTGAAAAATAGTATAATCAATAACATACCCTGAAAGCTATACAACCATATCTGTTTTAAAACATTTTGGATTATTTTTTATTTGAAAAGTTTTAGATAAATATATAGATCTTAAATAGTAAGATGCTAGGGTATCAAGTTAATTTTGGAATTAATAGTGAAAGTTAATTTTTTTGCATCTTTTAAATACACATTTGAAGAAATATATAAAATTAAAAATATAATAGTGGATTTGAAAAAAAGAAAATAAATTGTTTTATCTCTTTTTAGTTTATTTCAACAAAAAAACCAAAAAAAAAGTGAATACTAAAATTTATAAAATAAAATTTTAAAAATAGTTTTAAAGAATTTTTAAATTCAAAATCAAATTTGAAAAATAAAATAAAAGAATTTTTTTTAAAAAAAAATATGTGAAAAAATAAAATAAAATAAAAATTCGAATATGAAAAAATATAACTGGAAATTTTTTTAAAAATATTTATTTCTATTTACATGTGTACAAGAAGAGGTAGAAAAGTCTTTTGGCTCATTGTTGAAATTTATTTTCATCATTTTTCAAGGTTATATTAAAATGCTTAAGATAAAAGGAAAAACTGTTCATAATGTATGTGATGATACTCTGAATAAACTATTATAGTAGAGTCAAAATCCCTACGAAAATATTTAGAATAATTATAT